CCCCTAGCCCCTCCTTCTCTTTCTTCATATGTCAAAATTTCATTAAAATCCCCCCCAAGAGAATCGGCAAAGAAGTATCACACAAATGTTTCATCAAACCCCAAGTTTGGTGTTTCTCCTCGGTTTTAGGCCACCTATAAACCCCTACAAATCGCCAGCTCTCCTTCCTTTCACTCCAAATATCACCACATTTGTGAAGATTAGAAAAGGACACTAATCTAAAACCCACCTCCTCTCACCAATACATACAAGAACCACCCGAATTCCCCCTACTAGACATCCCAAACGCTCCATGAAAACCAAGGGAAATCTTCAAATGTTCCATTACACCAGTTTCCATCATAGTCTTAGACAAAAACAGTACACTTGGGTAATGCTTATGACTCCGTTTGCGGAGTTCACGAACTGAATGGGGATTGCCCATTCCCCGATAGTTCCAAACAAGGACATTCATTTGGGCTGGCTGGGTTGAGCATCCCCAACCTCCACCAATGGTCCTACACCATTCAAAGTAAATGGAATAATTATTCCCTTGGCAATGTGATCATCACCTACCTCGATAAAGTCAGCCTCCCTACGCTACCTCTCTTGCCCATTAGTCTACAACTTCATGAGGAACTAGGCCACCCCCGGTCCTAGTTTTGATGTTGTTAGTGTTTAGGGTAAAATTACCCCCGGTCCACGTGGTCCAATTGTGCATTGACACGTGTCACCCTCAGAGAGGTTCTGAAGGAACCAATCCTCTGACGACACGTAGCACTCCAAGTCATGAAAGGGGATTTGATCCTTAAACCCTATAAATAGAGAGAGATCCCCATTTATTGCACATCGAGAAAATATTCACACAAATCAGAGCAATATTAATTGTAGATACTCTCTCTCGGAATCCAAGAGAAACTCTTCACATTCCTCACTTTAACTCTGTCCGTACCCATACTAACTTGGTCGTCGGAGGCGGAACTCCACCCAACCGAAGTTTCCGTGGATTTGCAGGTACAGACGGTCGGCATCCATTCTTGGAATAATAACTCTCCCGAGGGACTCCAAAAATCCCAAAACATTTGGCGCCGTCTGTAGGGAGAGTTATTCTAAGATGGCTTCGCAGCAGTCTGTACCGCCTGCTAATGAGAAACGACCTATGGCCAAAGTAGAGGTCTATATAGACCAAGACAGTGGTGACAACGTCAATGTCGACACCTATGTGGCCCCAGACGGGTCACTCAGAACATGACACACCTGTTCCAAGGAAACAAGGGAACGGGGTGAAAACAAAGCTGGTCCAAGCAACCCAATCGCCAAGCTTGCTGGGAAACCCTAGGCGGTGGAGGGTGTTGTCCCTGTTACAAGAGACGAACTCATGAAATTCATGACAAGTTTCAAAGGGGAAATCAAGGACTTGATAAACAAGAAGGCGACTGGCACCAACAGGGGTCAGTCGGCCAAGAAGTCTTCTCCTTCAGGGAAGAAGCAAGTGAAGGATCGTGTGCCTACTCCTCACCCTAAACCAAAGGGGATGGATGGGCCCATGATTGATTTATCAAAACTCCGTTTCCCTAAAGCAAGGAAAAGGAAAGCCATCCGGCAAGTTCATCTGGATGGATCAAAGAAGACTTACTCGGATGCCCGGATATTAATCGAGCAAAAGAGAAGTCAACAATTGTCTGAGTCGGCTTCAACGTCGACTTACCCAGACAGCTTCCCGAATACTTCAATGAGGTATTCGGAAACAAATCGAGAGAGTCAGTCACGCGGCATGTCCACACGAACTGGCCCTCATATTATCCAGCCGGCTCCGTATGTGCCCCAACAACCATAAGTTCCATATAGATCACAATACATGCAGCCGGCCCGCTTTGGGGTCAGGCGGCACGAAATGTCCAGCCAATGGACTGGCAGCTCCGGCTGCTAAACCTTGGGGAATAACCTTCAGCGTTCTCCAGGGAGATAACCGAGGCAGCTCAGCCGCCCAAGGTTAAGAATGTGTTGGTTAGTACCTATGACGGTACCACCAACCCGGAAGACCATCTAATGGCATAAACCAACCTCATGTATTTACAGGGATTGGATGACGCCGCCTGGTGCCGTTGCTTCCCGGAGACATTGAGGGGTATAGCCCAACGATGGTTTGGCAATCTTCCATCCGGATGCATCAACAATTTCAAGACGCTTGCATACTTGTTCGCGTCCAACTTCTCTATGAATATCCCTGCCAAAAAGACAAGTCTCGACTTGGGAGCTATTTTACAGGGAGATAGAGGGGCTAAGTTCCTATGTCAGGCGGTTCAATCTGATGAGAATTCAGATTCAAGGGCTGTCTGACGAAGTTGCCTACACAGACTTTTCAAGGGTCTGAAGAACGGGTCGACCTTTAAATTCGACCTGGTCAAAAAGAGTGTTGCTACCCTCCAAGAAGCTTTAATGGAAGCCAAAGACTATATACAGGCAACGGAGCTCTCTGTTACATCAAGTAGTCGTCGAACCCTAATAATTCTGACAAAAAAGAGAGCCGGTCAACTCAGCCGGCTAAAAAGGAAGAGAATAAGAAAAGGAAAGAGGTTTGGGTGGCAGACAATTCTAGTCAGCCATCCCAGAAGAAGAAGAAAGAGTTGAAACCGTACGTCCCCAAGTACGAGTTCAACAAGGATTGTTACTCCATCTTCATGGAGATCAAAGACCGGGTGACTATTGAGAAACCGGCTGCAATTAAAAGTCCAGTCAAAAGTCGAGACCAAGACAGATACTGTCACTTCCTTAAGGATAAAGGCCATGACACCAACGACTGTTATAGCCTAAGGTGGTCGTTGGACCGTCTGGCTGACAAAGGGGTACTGAAGTCCTATATTCTGAAGTTCAAGGTGACCCTTTAAACAAACAATGGACAGCCGACCAAAAAGTCAGACCAGCTTGCTATTAGCTCTAACACTGATGAAGACCAGATCTACGCTATAGAAGGCGGTTTTACTGGAGGGGGTCCTACCATTCGGGGCACCAAGGACTACATCAGAAGGCTGGAGGTCAACTCAGTTGATGAGGGTCAGGCGTCAAAAGACACCTTCCCTGAGGTCATCATCTCTGAGAAGGACCGTGGCAAGGTCAGGCGGCCACATGATGACCCCATAGTCATCGAGTGCAAGGTCGCCAATAAACGAGTAGACCGGATCCTTATTGATACCGGGAGCTCGTTGATATACACGTTTTATACATAGATTTATCCCGACTTTTCATTACATTCTTGCATGGTTTTAGGCTCTTTAGAGCCATTTTCAGCTAACATTCTCTTCTCTAGTGTGTTCGGTGTGTTTTTATAAGTTTTACAGGAACTTGTAGTTTCTCGGATGATTCGGACACGTTTTGAGCGTTTACGGAGATGTTAGTGGACAAGGATGTAAACACGAGCTAAACATGAGCTAAGCCTGAAAAAGAATTGCAAGCAAACAACATTTTTCTACTGTGCCCGGTTGGGCTATGCATGCCCGGTCAGACTGGGCAAAGAAGGATTTACTGTTGGTGCTAATTACGAAGAACAAAGCAAGCTTGGGCATTTATCCCACGCGCCCGATCAGGCAGCCCATGCCCTGTTGGACTGGGCGCGTGGTGGCTGAGATGCTCAAAGCTACGAAGATCAGATGCAAGGAAGAAAGCAAAGATGTGCCTCGCGCCCGATCGCGCGCCACCTGCCCGGTTGGATCGGGCGCCGAGGAGAGTAGTAAAGAAGAAGCAGCGCTTGTTTTGTTCCCACCTGCCCGATCGGGCAAGTCATGCCTGGTCAGACCGGGCAGGGTTATGCGCATTGTCGTTTTGTTATTTTCTTATTTTTACTTCATTAAGGGTATAAATACCCATTGTAATCATCATTAGAACAGACTTTATTTTTTTCCTTAAGTTTTATTTCTCTCTCTGGAAACCCTAGTTTAATACTTTTTAGCAATTTAATTCCTAGGTTAGATTTGGGTATTGTTGATTAACAATTTGAGTAATTTCAATTGAAGCATCGTTGCTATTCATCTCTATTTCTTTCTCTTTCAATTATTTTTGTTTTCAATTATGTTTTCCTTGATTATTGTTGTTATTGCTTCTTTCAATATGTGTGAGTAGTTTTCTTATTCCAAGATCTAGGGTAGCCCAATTATGATTGATGCATGAATTAATTCTTTAAATTCTCTAATAACCATTGCAATTGTTTATGCTAAATTGATTGTGATTATGCCAATACTAGATTAGAGATAATTAGTATTGTTATTGTTCCATAGTTTCAATCACAACGAGAGTTGGGTTTTAACGGAATTGAGTAAATTAATTTAGGGTTTGAGATTCATCACGAGAGTAGTTGAATTGATAATTGGGAAGTGAAGTAAAGTGTTTAATGTCTCTAATTTGCATGATTCCATGAGAATAGGCTTGATTGTGGTTAGGGAAGCCATTGATACTCGAGAGAGGTCCTTGGTATTGATTAGGGTTTACTTTTCCCCATGTTAATTGGAATTATATGTTAGGGGTAGATATATAATTGCATTGATCGTAATTGTGGTGATACTTGATCTTGGATGTTTTAGCTTATTGATTCATTATATTCTTTTGATTTATTCTAGTTTTCCATACTTTAGCTCTTAGTTTATTCCACCATTGATTGATTTTTGCTTAGTGATTACCTGAGTCTAGATAGTTTAGGTGAACCTTAGTCTCTTGGGATTCGACCCTTACTTGCCCGACTACATAGTTAGGAGGAATAGTTAGGTTATTTTTGTTAGGTACGTGACACGCCTATCAAATTTTGGCGCCGTTGCCGGGGACTAACGGTTTCATTTGATTATTTGTGATTCGTTTTTGCTAAGCTTTATTCGTTGCTTCGGCTATTTTCTCTTGTGTTTTTTATATTCTCTCTCTAGTTTTCTTGTTGCATGCAATCACGACGTACAGGGTCAGACGATCTTGAACCATTTGACTCTGAAATCGAGGCAACTATAAGGAGAAGGAGAATAAGAAATCGACATAATAGAAACATGGACGATGCCACGAAATCTTTATTGGAGTACAGGATTCTTGATACAACAACCGGGCTCCTATCCAGCATTGTCAGACCACCTATTATCGCCCAGAGCTTTGAATTAAAACCTCAATTCATACAGTTCATCACCAATGACTCATTTGCAGGCACACCTCATGAATGCCCTGTTAGCCACATAGACAGTTTCTTGGAGAAGTGCGACACCATGAAGCTCAACGGTGTTACTGTTGATGCTATCAGACTTCGTTTGTTCCCTTTTTCACTACGGGATAGAGCGAAGGAATGGTTGCGAGACGAAGGTATAGGCTCCTTTGATACATGGGATAAGCTTTCCAAGGCCTTCTTAGTAAGATTTTTAGGGCAAGAGAAGACAGCAAAGTTGAGGAACGAGCTAGCTACCTTTCGTCAATCTGATGATGAGTCTTTATATGAGGCATGGAGAAGATTCAAGCGCTTACAGAGACAATGCCCTCATCACGGTATCCCAGAGTGGCTGTTGATCCAAACATTCTACAATGGTCTTACCCACGCGTTCCGCATATACATTGTTGCTGCATCCGGAGGTTCTTTCATGACTAAGAACCCAACTGAAGCTAAGGAGCTAATTGAGAAAATGGCAGCCAATGATAATTATCATCCAGGGGGCAGAAATACTGTGAAGACTAGAGGAAAATTTGATGTTGATGCTTTAACTCTCTTGACAAGTTCTGTACAAGCATTAACAAGCAAGTTCGATAAAATCCAAGCTGGACCCCCTTCCACTTCATTCGAAACATGTCAATTATGTGGTATTCAAGGCCATATTTCACCACAATGTCAACCTCCCTCTGACGAAATGTCAATCGAGGAAGCAAATGCCTTCTATACTACGAGACCTAAAAGGCCGTATGATGCTCAAGCTCAATTGTATTCTCCGCCACCACTACCTAATTTTTAAGCAAGGGCATCTTTTAATCACCAACCCATGTATCAACAACTACCACCGCAAACTTCAAAATACAACCTCGATTCCACTATGGAGACTTTCACTACCTCCCTTCTTCGACAGCAAGAGCTTATGACAAAGCAATTTGAGCTACAAGCAAAGCAAAATGAACACTTTGAAAGCTCAATTCAATTGCTTATGGCTCAAAATAAGAGGATAGAAACCCACCTTTCTCAACTTTCACAACAAGTGAGTCATTTATCAACTCTTCATGATCAAGCAAAAGTCCAAAAGGAACAATGCAATGCAGTTTTCTTGAGAAGCGATGAATTATTTCCGAGGAAAATAGATGAGAAAGTGTGCAGTGTGGAGTCAAGAAAAGATGAACAGGGTGAGGATGTAAAAAGTCTCAAATATGTCGCTCCATCGGCCTATGAAGAACCAATGCCCTTCCCCCAAAGGTTGTCAAGGGCTGTGCTCGATAAACATTTTGGGAAATACAGCGAAGCTCTTAAGAAGGTACACGTTTCTATTCCTTTTTCCGATCTTTTAATTCAAATGCCTCAATTTGCAAATTTTGTGAAGGATATTAAAGATCAACATGAGGATATGGAAGTACTAAATGAGAAAGGCTCTACTCTTTTATGTGACAACCTACCACCTAAGCTGCATGATCCTGGTAGTTTCACTATTCCCTGTATGATAAACGAAAAAAATTTCGACAAGGTTTTGTGTGATTTAGGTGCTAGTGTTAATTTAATGCCTTATTCATTATATGAGAATTTAGGTTTGCAAAAACTTAAACCTTCCCCTATTTCTCTTCAAATGGCTGATAGGACTTCTAGACTCCCTAAGGGTGTGGTTGAGGATGTATTAGTTAAGGTTGGTGAACTTGTTTTTCCTGTTGATTTTGTTGTTATGGACATGAAAGAAGACCATAAGATTCCGATTATATTCGGTCGTCCATTCCTTGCCACAAGTCAAGCTCTAATAGATGTTCCTAAAGCACAAGTGACCATTAGGGCCCGGAATAAACAAGTCATGTTTAAGCTCTTTAATGAACATAATTTTATATTTGATGGTGGTACTTGTTTAAGAATTGATACTACTAACCCTTTGGTTGATAAGTGTGTATTTGGTAGAAATTTTGTGAGAAACGAGGACAAAATTCCACCCAATGATGTGTTTAGCTACATGAAGGTAAGTTTGGATACAAAGCATGTCAAATATAAAGTGAAGGAGTCACTTGGAGGTAGATATTTTCATGGGCAACATCGCGGAGTTCCTTCTTCGTGTGGTGACCCAGGTTGAGCTAATAACAAAGGTCAAGCTAAAGACCTTGATAAACTAGCGCTTTGCGGGAGGCAACCCGTATTTTATTGTTTTTATTGTAGTCTTTTCTAATTTTTGTGTGTTTTTGTTTCTCTTTGGTTTTTATAGAGGTAAGGAGAGTGTAATTTGCGCTTGTGGGAGTTTATTTTTGTGCAGATTTTGAGCCAAAGAAGAGCTGAATTCGTTAAACCTTTCAATATCCTTCGCGCCTGATCGGGCACCCCATGCCCGGTCAGACCGGGCGCGCATACGTTTCAGCAAAACTGCTCAAGTTCGACTGGCCATAACTTTTGCGTTACTTAATGGATCTTTGCGTGTGACCTATCGTCGGAAATATCTTCAAGTCTAATTTCCAATGCAATTAGAATCACAGCATTATCAATTATACATCAAAGTTATGATCAGAATAGTGCACATGACTCAATTTCTATCCTTTTTCCCACTAACTTCCCTTTAAGACAATGAAGACATTGTCTGATTTAGCTTGGGGGGAATTTCTTATGTACACAAGGTATATCTTTGACTCTCTCTTTCTACTTTAGTGTGTTCAGACTAGCAGTAAGGTTCAATGCTTTCATCTTCATCTGAAAAAAAAAATGAAAAATACGAGAATCATGATAATGAATGGCCATTGAACTACTTCCCTGTGCCCCTATCCTTAATGCCAAAAGGTTTTGATTTAATTTCGATTGAAAGACTTGCATTGTGGATTAAAAGATCATGATTTGACCTTGAATTGGTTGATCCCTAGTAGGAGTCAAAGCTATTAACCATGTATGATTTAGGATCTTGACTGTGTTAACCGTGAGGCTTGAGCCTTATATATTCATTCATGTGTGTGTTTAGTTCCTGGTGTAGCATTGATCTTAGTTTTGATTCTAGAATTTTAGTAGTGTGTCATAATGCATTGCACATGCACGTCGAAAATGACGTAGGCCATGTTCATTAGGTGACCTCCAGACGAATCTAGAGCATTAGTTCCCTTCTTGCTCACCCATGTTGTAGCTTGACTATAATTTTCGTGAACATAAAAAAAATTTACCCCTTAGCCTCAATTTGGTTACTTTTCCCAAGTCTAGCTTGGGAAAGCTATATCATGCGGTATTTTGTGTGATTTCATCTCAAGTTGCAATTGATGAGAAATATATGAAAAAAAGAGAGAAAAGAAGGAAAACTAGCATGGAGGTTTGTTGAAAATTAAGAAAAAAAAAAAAAGAATGAATCGAAGAACAAAGAAGGAAAATCTTGTACTTAAAATGAAAGAAAGTGTCTTTGTTCTCGAGAAAAGAAAATAAAAGGAAAAGAAAAAAAAAGGAAAAAAAAATGTTAATGTGAATAAAATAATGAAAAGAAGCTTGAAGTTGGAAAAGAATGTGAAGAAGTAATGGGTGTTTCATTGTAGTTTGGGTATGTGCTTTGTTGACTAAAAATGGTGAATCGAGGGTGTGAATCATTGCATTTGATAGCTCCCCGGTTAGACTAATATAGCCCACATTTCCCAAATTATTTCCTACCCATTCTTATTCTCGGCCTACGTTACAAGCTTGAAAGAGTCCTTCCGATCTTCATGCATAGCATTGTGTTCATGTGAAACGAGTCTTTTGTCAAAATGCTGGAGTATATGTTGCATTTCGAGTCGACATTGACTAGGTTGAGCGATATTATAACCCTCTAAACACGCGAGTGTTGTGAGATGGGGGGATTGCATTATTGGTGGGGATGGTGAGAGATCGAGCTCATTTTTAGCTCTCCACATAAAAAGTGTGTTGAGTGACCACCAATGTGAGATATTCTAGTCATCGATTCTTGAATTATACATGGTTGGTCTCGTTTGACGATAAATTAGGTGGATCGACGGTTTAAGTGATTTGATTGGTTGGCTAATGTAATACCCCGTATTTTTGAAAGGTATTTTAGTCTCGTATTTTGATGTATTTTTCTAAATTAATTATTTTCTAAAGAGTATTTTAGTTTTGGAGCCAAAATGATATTTAAATTTTGGTGCCTAAATCATTATTTTACAAAACTAATTAAATTGGATAATCCAATAAATGAAACTATTTTATACTTATGTTATAAATAGTATTTTTGATTTCTCAAAATTTAAATAGCTAAACCGAAATTATATTAATTCGGTAGATTAATTAAAATGTATTTTCAGTTTTCATAGAATAAAAATCTAAATTGTTTTAATATTTTTCTAAATTAATTATTTTCATGAAATATATTAATTTTCGGATTTTATACAATAAAAATCTGATTTAATTAATTATTATATGTCAATATTTTCGGCCACCCTAATTATTTAATAAAAATCTGATTTTTATTCTTCAATTATTAATTTTCACAAATAAATTTTATGGGATTATTAATTTTAAGTAAATAAATTATTTTACAAAATCATTAAATTAACATAGAAGGACCGAAAATATTGAGCAATATTAAGCTCAATATTTTCGGCCACTCATGAATTTTCTAAATGGTTTTAATTTAATTTATTAAAAATAAAAATCCTTTAAAATTCCTTATTTCTATTCTTAAATATAAAATCTCTTGATCTTATTCTATACTTGCACTCCAAGCTCAAAACCTACTAAATAATATTTCATGACCAAATAAAATCTAATATCCTTCCATACATTTAAAACCCTAATTTCTATTCTTTAAAATTTTCATAAATTATACAACCCTAAATTTCTATAAATTCATCACCTAAACACCTATAAATACCCCCTCATAACTCTCATATTCTTCACACTAAAACTCAATTCCCTTCTTTTCTTTTACTCTTCTTTTCCCTCAAACTTTTCCTATTTTTCTTTTCCTCTTTTTTGAAAGAAAATCTGCCCCTATATCTTTAGAGACAATTTTCGGGCACTTCTGTTCATTTTTTAGATTTTTCTATTTCACAGAAAATTATTTCTCTCAAAACATCCTTGAGGTTAGGCTCAATAATCACCCAATTCGGAGTTATATCAAAGGATTTATGACCTCTGCAATTTCTGCCTATCCTTTCCAACGCAAATTCAATTTCCTTTAATCCTATTCCTTTATTTTCTTCGTGGTTAGTTTTCTAAAATATAATTACCTATTTCACAGTTATAATTTTATATTAAAGTATTATTTTTAAAAGAGTTTTATAGTCCATGCACATTAGATTTGGGTTTATGTCTAAAGATGTTGTGATAACCGTATGGTTATGTTAATTGCAAGGTGTATTCGTGATTGAACTTTGAAAGTGCGAAGTGTTGATTGATATTCGGAATTAAGGTACGTTATGTGGTTTGATACCTTCGAAAGTTGACTATGAAATTATGTTTTAATATAGTTCTTATGAAATTATGTGCCGTATGAAATTATGTTTTACTATATGAAATTGTGTTTTATGATAGCTTGAAATTAATGATTTTGGTTAATCAAAGAGGCTTTGAATTGTGATTAAAATTATTAAAAGGATTGGATTAAAAATGATTTACAATTTTATTGATGTCCAAGTATAACAGATTTTTTTTTTAAAAAGGTGCTTTTAAGCAATCAATCGATATGGTTATGAATCCCACTTAGGGAATGGATTAGAGAAGGCTATGGACTTGCATGACCTAGCCTTTCCTCAAGATTGGCCTTTGTTCATAAAGTAAACCACTTGGGGGGTGTGCACACTTAGTGAGGAATTGGTTTTGGAACGTAATCGATTGAGTTTTTAAATTTGTCTTGAAAGAATTGAATTGGAAAAACTCTTACTTGAGTACTGATTAGGGGATTTTGCTCCCACCAATCGGAATGCGCCACGTGGGCCAATCAGGTCCTGCCAAGTGTCCCCCAGTTGGAACTATCAGGGTTTGCCACGTGGCACACGCCTATTTGTCCACCTTGGACCTATTATGTCATGACACGTGGCATACTCCATGACTAATGGAAAAACCGGCCACCTAGGCCCAACTTCCAAGGGAAGCCCAATCAGCCCTAGGTTAACCTAAACCTAGGATTGACACGTTTCCCAAGGTTATAAATACCTCCCTTAATCCTCATTAAAGGGTATTACGCACATTTAACACTCTCACCTAGAGAGACCTAATTACTTTTATTTCCGCATTAATTACTCCTTAATCAAGTACTAACTTGACCGTCGGAGGCGGATCTCCAATCATCCGGAGTATCCGTTTGTTTTGCAGGTACAGGCGTCCGGTTCCAGTCTCGGAATTGTAACTCTCCCGTAGGACATCAGAAAACCCCAAAACATTTTGGCGCCGTCTGTGGGGAGAGTACTTCTGAGATGGAATCCACGTCTGTACCGACTCGTGAAGAGAGGCGTCCCCTAGACGACCCTCAAGTCTAGTCGGACCATGATACTGAGGAAGAATTTGAAGTTGAAGCTCACACAGCTTCAGACGAGACCCTAAGGGCCCGACGCACCTGTCATACCGAAAGAAGGGAACGGGAACATCTTCAAACTGGACTCAGTGATCCATCCTGCGCACCGCCTGTCCAGCAGCAGCCGGCTGATGGGTCTGCTCCCATTACAAGAAACGAACTCATGACTTTCATGAGGGGCTTCAAGGGAGAGATTCAAGAGTTGCTCAACAAGAAGCCTGCTCTGGCCAAGGAGCAGTCGGCTAAGAAACCTTCAACTTCAGGGAAGAGGAAGCCAGTCCAAGGGCGAGAGGTGACCCCTCATCCTAACTCTAGGAAGTGGGAGCCGCCTGCCCTTGATTTCACAAAGTATCGCTTTCCTACTCCAGGAAAGAGGAAACCTGTTCGTCATATTCAGGCGGACGGGTCGAAGAAAACATACACAGATGCTCGGCTATTGCTAGAGCAGAAAAAGAATGATCGATTGTCAGATTCGGCCTCTACTTCAGACTTCCAAGGCAGTCTACGCAATACCTCGATGAAGTATACTCAGTCGCATCATGAGAGTCAGTCAGGCGGCACCTCCCGTCAGTCCGGCTTTCATAGTGACCAGGCGGTACCAAACTTAC